AACAATTGGTGACGTGGCTCAAATTCGTTCTCAATGGCTGGCGCAGATGCATCCACTCCTTGTGACTTATGATTTCCAATGAAACTGTTTTGTTCTTCGTTATTACTATTCCTTTGTCTCACACCTCTGTTTACAGTCTCTATTATGCATTTCTCCTACTTTCTTCTCTCGCTTTGTGTGCTACAAGGAGGGAGTGTGGCGACTTGAACTGCTGCACATCGGTGCAAAGTTCTATGTCGAAAACAGATAGACAGACAGATTAAATGTAGAGACAAATAACCCTGAATGAAGAGTTAATTATTACTGGATGGGTAGTAAATAATCATGACATTGCTTCTAAGCATTTTATTTTATTTTAACATAGAATATTATCTACCCTACAACAGAAAATTCTACAAACGAAACTATTTGTATTTTAATAACCGACACTTGAATCGATCGAGTGTCGGTGGTCTGGGTTCGATTCCCAGTTGACTTCACATTCCGTTTACTAGACGATAGTGAGTCTGTAAAAAGAGAGAAGAGGTTGCACGTAAGACTAACAACCCTACCGCTAGTGAAACCTCAAAGTTTGAAGGTCCTATTTTCCATTCAGAATGCAAAATAAAGTGAAAATGTCCCTTGATTCATTTGTGCTAACGGTAATCGAAAATGTATAAATGTTCTTAGTCTCATGCTTTGTTAAAATTTGCAGCTGCAATTCTGAAAAATAATGAGCATACACACACACACACACACGTGGTCCCTTCAGCTTAAAAGAGATCTCTCATAGATCATAAGACTTTACAATAATAACAATCACAGAAATAAAAGTAATCTAATATATTTTTTACTAAAACACTGAGAAACACTATGATCTTGACAGAAATCCATACAGAATAATAATGACTTATAAATTGGTGCAGAGTACTCACACGTCCTGCAAACACATAGCCGGATACCATACCATACCTACACTAAAGATGATGCAAGTAGACTGACTAATGCTAAACGAACGTTTTATATACACGTTGAGATTTCGTTAGCAGTTAGTCTACTAGGATTAATATAATTTCATAAATAAGTAGAGTGATCAACATACTAAACTGTTTGGCTCCTTATTCTTAGACAAATAGTCAGTGAAGACAGGGACAAATCGTATACCAAACTAATTCAAATTTTCATTTCGGATGTTCAGGAGACTCAGCGCATTGTCAAAGTCTCCAACCTAAAGAATAACAATACACCTGCATTCTCTGGGTCAGCTTGACTTGTGTCTGGAAGTAAGTCAATTCCTTGATATAAGAATAAAACTTGTGCACTGTGGTAGAGTGCAATTCCATTATGGGTAAATTTTATTTTGATAAAGAGGGGACATCTGAGACCCTACGTAGTAGGATTCTTAATAAAGCAGGAATTAGGGTGGTATTCAAACCTACAAACTCACTCAGGGACAAGCTCTGTAGGTTAAAGGACCAAGTTGACCCAATTAGACAAAATAATATAATTTACAAAATACCCTGCAATGACTGTGAGGTCAACTACATAGGTCAAACTAGTAGGTCAGGGGTAGTCAGGTTGTCAGAACATAAGAATTTAGCTAAGGTTAGAATGGTTGACCCAGAGAAGATAAGTAATTTAGAAAAAAGCTCAGCAATTGCACTACATGCATGCATTAACACACAACCACACAATAGGGTGGGAGAGGGTTAAAATTCTAAAAAGTAATCTAGGTAGGTGGACATAGAGAGAGGTTGATTACTGAATCCTTGTTCATCGAATCTACACCCAACACATGCAATAAGAATGATTCATCACTCATACCCGAAATATGGAAAATACTACTACCAATCAAATCAAGTGAAAATCAAGTGAAAAACAATAGAACTATATAAATGAATTTAGGAAGTCGCGTGATTACCTTGATATGATTATGAGTGGCAATAAATTGTGCTCGAAACGCCGTCATCAGTAAACATTACTGTATAACACTGTGAAACTTTATCAAAATAAAATTTAAGTCAACTCCTCCTTTGATATTCAAACCGACTAGGGTCATATTCATCAACACATTTATAATGAAACTGAATAAGAATGGTAACAGTAGTAGTGTGGTGAGAGCTGTCTACTAGTCAAATTGGTAGACAGTAATTTACGTCAATATTTACGTTCCCAAGATTTGTCGTGAGAAAATGTGAACAAAGATTGATTCAAAACCGACCACAGTAGACTTTGAGTAGGCGGATGCAGTTAACATATAGAGGATTTGACATTCAAGAAAGTCACAAATAGATGAAAGATTAACTGTACGTGAGAAACAACCAATCGGAAGACTGTGTTTGTTCGCTTAACTATCCATAATAATGTACATGAAAATATATAAATATGCGTTGATTTCCTTAATAAATGACCTGTTGCCTGACTCTTGCCTTCTGTCGTTACAGTAGTAGCCTAGACGAATGGACAACAGTTCATTGAAGTAAACTTCAGTGAGTCAGGTTTTTGAACAGAGATCCCCTTTCAAAGATTTAGACAGTCGACTAGTACTACAGTTGCTATACAAACTGCAATATAAACCTATAAACGATTTTTAAGTGTTGGTTTTGTAGACACTTGACTAATTGATCTCATAATACACGATTATAGCGAAAATATTCATTCAGACATCTATAAAACACAAAATAATCGAGCAAAGAATATCCTTTTCGATAAATTCCTCTTCTGACTCTACAATTATATATGCATGTTTATATACATAGAATATTCTAGATTAGTAGTCAATAACAATATTAGTGTTTTTTAAATAATATCGACTTGTTAGGTATGATCAATGCAATTTAACTGCTCCTGTGGAGCCAGTTACATAGACCGTACAATTAGGCATGTTTCTCGTCGAATTTCCGAACATCACCCTGCACAGTGGTTAAGTAAAGGACAAACAAAATCTATTCACATAGCGCTATTCTATCTCATCTTGTGGATACAGAACACAAGATTGACGTTAACCATGCTTTCAGGGTCATTTACCACATACCTACGAATCTCAATTTTGCCTTAAGAGTTCGACTACTAAATATTGCTGAGGCTATGGGGATCCATATTAACAAGCCTAATTTATGCATCCAAAAGAAGTTAGTTCAGACATTATCATTACCTTGGCCATCTAGGTTTGAATGATCCTGAATTTTTGAGGGATTTTCCTAATTTTAGTTGATATTCTATTCGCTACTATATCTTTGTTATTATTATAATTTAAGCATCTTTAATGAACTGTAATTCCACTGTGATCTTACTTTACAAATCGATATTATTTAAAAAACACTAATATTGTTATTGACGGAGGTTATGAAAATAACCAACCAACAACAACAACAACAGCAACATCCAGCGCCAATCACCATCAACGGGAGGGATTTGAAAGAGGTTACTTCATTCACTTATCTAGCGAGCATTGTCTCAACTACAGGAGGAACCGACGAGGATGTCAAATCGAGAATCGCGAAGGCGAGAAACACATTCATCAATCTGAAACCAATCTGGAAATCTTCGTCACTCAACTCACCATCAACAACAAAATTCGGATTTTCAATACAACCGACATCAAGTCAGTTCTTCTATACGGATCAGAAACTTGGCCAGTGTGTCACAAAGAATATTTCCAACAGCCTGTTGCAGACCTTTATCAACAACTGTCTTCGCTCTATACTCAAGATCAGATGGCCGGAAAGAATCACCAACAAGAAACTATGGGAACAAACAAAACAAGAACCAATCGCCCAACAAATATGCAGGAGAAAGTGGAGATGGATTGGACACTCGCTGAGAAGGCCGTTGGGTGACATCGCACGTCAGGCCAGTGCTCGAGTGGAACCCGAAAGGGAAGCGGTGAGTGGGACATCCAAAGGTGACATGGAGGAGATCGTGTGAAGAGGAGTTGAAACAGTATGGATTAACATGGATGCAGGTGAAAAGTACAGCACAAGACAGAAGCAAGTGGAGACGTGCAGTTGAAGCCCTATGTTCCACTAGGAACCCAAGGGAACAATAATAATAATAATAATAATCTAGAATATTCTATGTATATGAACATATGTATAATTGTAGAGCCAGAAGAGGAATTTATCGAAAAGGATATTCTTTGCTCGATTCGAAAAAAGAAGCTAGGATCTAATGAGTAACTTTTCTGCAACTGACAGATGTGGCGTAGCTCATTGGTTTCAACACTCATGTTTTAGACTAAAGAGGTTCCAGGTTCAGATCTTGCCTCGCCTACTTCAGCTGGATAGCGTTATAACTCCCTATAGAATGAGTGTGGCTCATACATAATCTGGTACATGAGGAATATGAGTTCTGAAGCATTAACTAACCAACTCTCTCTCTATAACTGTTAAAATTTCTGTCTTAAGAACAGAGTAAAGTTAAAAACGGAGTTACAACAAACTATTTCTTCATTGTCTGTCTGTCTGTTTTCAACATAGAACTTTGCACCGATGTGCAGCAGTTCAAGTCGCCACACTCCTTCAATGTAGCACACAAAGCAAGAGAAGAAAGTAGAAGAAATGCATAACATAGACAGTAAACAGAGGTGTGAGACAAAGGAATAGTAATAACGAAGAACAGAACAGTTTAATTGGAAATCATGAGTCACAAGGAGTGGATGCATCTGCGCCACTGAGAACGATTTTGAGCCATGTCACCAATTGTTTCCAACCATTGGATTTTCCGTCCCGAGGACCCCAACCAGGGAGTCTACACCTTCCTACGTGGCCTAGACTAACTGTTGTGGATTTCATTGACTGGTGCCATGTTTTGGTTTGACCGCCGCTAGCTCTTTTCCAGTCTAACCCTATGTCAGCTAACATTGCCGGTCGAGGAAGGCGATGACTAGGCATACGTAACACATGTCATAACCATCTCAGTCGATATAGCTTCATAGTTTCGTCGACTGATTTCCCCTTCTTCATTAAAACATATCAGTGATATAAAGTAGACAATTTTAAACCAAAACGAGTAAAACTTACTTGCAGATTCTACTACAGTATGTGAAGGGGTTAAATCTGGTTTGGAAATCTGTTGTTGATTATTATTGTTATTATTATTATTACTACTATTATTATTATTATTATTCCCAACAACAGATGATATAATAAACATGGGTTGATCACTTTTTAATTCCTTTGTATACGGAACTGGTGTTAATAATGTACACTGCATTTGACCTAGGGTATTATTATTAGTATTATTATTGTTAGCTGAGTAGTTAGGCGAAACACCATCACGATAAGGATGAGTCAAAGAAGTATCCATGTAGGTATCACCACCACCACTACCGACAACTAAATGTCCATTATTATTTCGATTTGAACAATCTGTTGGTAAAGTTGTTTGACTGTCAGATGAATGTTGAACCAAGTAAGGCGTAGACATTTGATTTGGTAACAGAATATTATTCACCTGTTCCAAAGCTATAACACAGCATAGAGAGTTAAAAGAAAAATAGACATCAGCAAACAGATACATTATTACATATTAGCTGTGAGTATAAAAAAAATCAAAATGTATATTGTTAACAACTAAGGAATATAGGAAGACTAAAAAGGGGAATAATGCATACACTACTTTGAGGCAATTTCCGCTTCCGATTATTATTATTATTGTTTCCTTTAATTCCTAGAGGAACATAGGGCTTCAGCCGTGCGTCTCAATTGCGTTCGGTTCTCTGCTAGAGTTCCCTTCACCTGGCTCCAAGTCTGCCCACACGTTTTCGTCTTCTCTTCACATGACCTCCTCCAAGTCACCCACCCTCGCACTGACGACCAACTCGCCGCTTCCCTTTCGGGTTCCACTCGAGCAATGGCTTGTCTAGTGATGTCACTTGATGGTTTTCTCAGAGTATGGCCAGCCAATCCATCTCCATTTCTTCCTGCCTATTTGTTTCACAATCGGTTCCTGCTGGGTTGGTTCGCTCATTGCCAGAGATCTCTGTTGCTGAGCTCTTCTCTGGTCGGCCATCTGATCTTCAGTGGTATTGAGCGAAGACAACTGTTAATGAAGGTCTGTAGTTTGTTTGAGATGCTCTTTATGACGCGCTGGCCAAGTCTCTGATCCATCCGTATAGTATCACTGACTGAATTCACATTGGAGTTCAAAATCCGGATCTTATTTTTGATGCTGAGTGCTGTTGACTTCCACACAGACTTGAGAGTAGTGAAAACTTGTCTTGGTTTTCCGATCTTTGCTTTGATATCCTCGTCAGTTCCGCCTGTAGTTGAAACGATGCTTCCCAGTTAGGTAGGTAAAAGAGGTTGTTTCTTTCAGGTTCCTCCCATTTATGCTGATCGTTGTCTGTTGTTGTTGTTCTTGTCCAGGAATCTTCATTACCTCTGTTTTCTCTATGTTCACCTGAAGTCCTATCTTCTCTGGATGCTTCTTCTGCCAACTTGTTGCTTTTCGCTTGCATATCTTCCAGTTTGTGGGAAATCAGACATTAATCACTATTATTAACCACTATAAATTAGAGAATTTTCTAACACTGATATCATCAAATCAGTGCTTCTCTATATGGTTCAAAGACTTGGCGGACATGTCACCAGAAGCATTTCTAATTTTATTAACTTATCTTTATGTAAACAAAGATATTTTATTTTTCTTGATCTTCTGAGTTCTGCACACTATATTTCACCATCAACTTCTCATCTGACCTCATGTGCACCGAAATTTTAAAAATTTTGATCTTCTCTTATCTAATTACTTAACTATTACTAATTTTCTTTTGTTACCACCCCAACAACACAACTGTTAATTAATTTTTTTCAAGAAACTTCTCTCTAACAAGATATATATATGTGCCGTAACACTTTAGACACCCAGTAAATCGCAACACCCTATTTTACTGTGACGCTCTGACAATATGCTTGCTAATGGACAAAGGTTTGTTAAAATTGTACACTTTTTATTTTTATTTTATTATTAAAGAATTCAGGTTGTACGCAGCTGATGAGAACCAACGAAATAAAATGCACCCAGATTATTCTGCGCCAATGTTTCTTCTTTCTTTGTTCAAATTCTATCAACAGTGTGTTGCTTTTGCTTCAAACTCGAGATCAGATGGCGCTAGAAAGGACAAGGAACAGGGAAATCTGGGGACGAACCAATCAAGAATCCACCGCCCAATAAGTATGCAGAAAGAAATGGAGATGGATTAGACAAATGCTCAGAAAACCGTTAGGTTACAACCCTCCCCAGGTCATCGGTCGAGTGGAACCCTATTGAGAATCGATGAGTTGGGCGTGGATTCGAGAGTGACATAAAGGAGACCGTCGTGCGAGGAATCTGAGAGATTATGAACAGTCGTGGAGCCAGTTGGAGAGGAAGAAATGGAGATGTTTTGCTGAAGTCCTGTGTTTCACTCGGAACCCAAGGAAATAATAATAAAATTAGGGGATACTGAACAGCTAGTTTCATTCATTTTAACAGCTCTTTTTTTTAATTCCTTCACGTTCCTAGTGGAACATAGGGCTTCAAGCTAGAGGCTTGAAGTTTCTGTAGCAGTGTTTATTTTTACAGGATGGGGTTGCTAGCCTCATGCCCAACCTTTCCTCTTTACCAGCTTTTTTTTAAATATTGGCTCAGCGAGGTAAAGGAGTGCGTCGGCCGGGAATTGAACCCCGGACCATGTTTATGGTCGGCGAGCGTCCTAACCGCTATGCCACCGACGCCCTTAACGGTTCATTAATCGCACATAACTAAGATGCGCGTGTAGTAAAACTTCTGATAATGAAAAAAAGAGTGACACTAAATTAGTTGGTATTAGAAACATGTTTAGTAATTCAAAGACAACAAAATTAAGGCTTTCAGATTTGATTACTATGGTAAAATTATCAATTTATACACCGTAGATGATTTCCACGGGAGCTGTTTACTGCTTCTATCCGGCAATAAAATACTCTTTAAGTTACTGAAAATTTCCACAGAAGTGCTTAAATAATTCATGAGACTTCCTGCTAAAAGCTGATAACAGGTTATGAAAGGTAATAATAAATTTACTCTACTCTGCGAACTATTATTGCGCCTTGTATAAATTGTTTGTTGATCAATATTTACTGTCAACAATAGAATGAAAATTGCCTGTACTACCTGTTGTTTTAAAATTTTAAGATTCCTTATTATTATCAGCACTTTTTTCTTTATTCCTTCAGTTTCAATTGGCTTCAAGTTTTGAAGTTGCAGTAGCAATGGTGATTTGTTTTTTACAGGGTGGCGTTGTTAGCGCTACATCCAACCTTACCTTTTTCCATGGTTTATTACCGCCTAGTAGTAATCCAGGAGATGTTGAAGAGTGCATCAGTCGGGAATCCACCCTAAGCCACTTCTGTATGGTTGAAGAACATTCTACTAGTGAACCATCGACGTGTGCCATGATCACTTGTTGGATATTCGTCAACAGCAGTAAAATTTACTGAATCAAAAATGACGCCTAGCCAGATTTCAAATAAACGTAACTATATAGATACACAGAGTTTTCCTCAAGCATTTCATTTCGGAGTAGATGTTCTGTAGACTGAACTTCAACTCTTTGGTTACCTCTGAGTTCAAACACGAAGGGTGATTGTTGTGATCGAATAACTCTGGTAGTCACTATTACTTATTGTTTTCATTTTGATTAGTTAAACATGAAACAAAGTTGTACTTTTGATAGTTTGAGTTACATCTTTAGGTTATATTTTTCTTAAAATTTCATTGCTTTACGTTCCCAATGGAAAATGGAACTTCAAGCTGAGCTTTGAAGTTTCGGTAGCAGTGATTGTTATTTTTACGGATCGCGGTTCCTTAGCCTCATACCCAACCTTCCCTCTTTACCGGCCTAGCGAAACTTAGGAGTTCGCCGGCCGGGGATCGAACTCCAGACCATATGTGGCATGGTTGGAGAGCGTTCTACCGCTGAACCACCAACGTACTAAATTTTTTTAACCAGTAATGACTTTTCTAACAAGTATTTCTACTGTAACAGACACATGAATACAGCTCAGTTAAGAGAATAATCAGTATAGTTTGTATATTCATTCAATAATCTTTTAATTTAAATTTATTTTCTACTTACGTTGACTTGTTAAATTCGGTAAAGTAGTACACAATGGCTGTAAAAGAAAAAGGATAAAAGTTTTGTATAAGAATAAACAAGTTTATGTACTGTCGGACACTGGGGCACAAACAAAAACAACACAGAACAAATGATAAATTAAAACAGAATTGAGGACGGAAAATGTCTTAACCAAAAAAACCCAAAACAGCCAAGAAATAAGTGAACATGAAGTTGGAATTCATGGGCAATTGGATCGGGTCCTAGTGGCTTACTTGTCTGATCTACGAGCTCGCCTTGTAAACAGATGTTCTGTAGACTGAACTTCAACTCTTTGGTTACCTGAGTTCAAACACGAAGTTTGTAAACAGAAGGTCCTGGGTTTGAACCCTGGCGGTGTGCGAGTGCTGATGAAGAGTCCCGAACTAGGCTGAAGAAACAGCTGTCTAGTACTCCCAGGTTTTTCAATGGTTCTCTAACCAATGTCAGCAGCTCATCATGGAATCCTGTAACCAAATAAGTGAAGAACTTCGGCAAAAACGTTGATAACAAGGACTCCATAACGTGAAAATTCTAGTACACTTAATTGCTTGCACATACAAATAACCATTATGAGCAAATAGATTGTGCTCGAAATCAAATCCAGTTACTAATACTGTCATGGTATGAGACAGATAATGGGTTCCAATGGAATATTATTCTCACATATTCCCACAGTTCAATACTGTATTAGCAGCAGAATACTATACACGTATTTGAACATTCTACTTCAGCTCGTTTAATGTAAACCGAAATCACAGGCTCAGTGATTGGTTAAAGAATATTATATATATATATATATATATATATATATATATATATATATATATATAGAACAGCAGCAACATCCAGCACCAATCACCATCAACGGGAGGGATTTGAAAGAGGTCACTTCATTCACTTATCTAGGGAGCATTGTCTCAACTACACGAGGAACGGACGGACGAGGATGTCAAATCGAGCGAGAATCGGGAAGGCGAGAAACACATTCATCAGCCTGAAACCAACCTGGAAATCTTCGTCACTCAGCATCAGCAACAAAATTCGGATTTCAATTCAAACGTCAAGTTACTTCTTCTATACGCATCAGAAACTTGGCCAGTGTGTCACAAAGACTATTTCCAACAGCCTGTTGCACACCTTTATCAACAACTGTCTTCGTTCTATAAGCAAGATCAGATGGCCGGAAAGAATCACCAACAAGGAACTATGGGAACGAACGAAGCAAGAACCAATCGCTCAACAAATATGCAGGAGAAAGTGGAGATGGATTGGACATCGTGTGAAGAGGAGTTGAAGCAGTATGGATTAACATGGATGGAGGTGAAAAGCACAGCAGAAGACAGAAACAAGTGGAGGCTTGCAGTTGAAGGCCTATGTTCCACAAGGAACCCAAGGGAACAATAATATATATATATATATATTACTGTATAATACTATGTATTGGATCAAATAAACTTATCTAGTATTGGAACACTAGAAGTAATTTGAATACAATAGGATCAGTCAATCAGATATATCCGATGGAGACTTAGAATATGTAGCACCAAAGTGAAACATTTTTTAATGCTACATATTAAGCAGTATTGTAGTTAAGTCATTATCAGTATTACTGTGCTTTAAATTTACCTAGTACTAGATGTCAATACACACTGACAGCACAAACAAAATGATCTTTAAAACAAGCGGGAAGACATCCACCAGTAACCATAGCTGTAAAATACTCTCGAACACCAAGAAACTTCACTAAAGGGATTCATGTTTAAAGAAAAACATTTTGGTGACAACAGAAACTCAGTTTCATTTGAATTATGATGCCTCCCAACAGAGTTGTAGTATGACGTGCTCGAGAGGACTGTCGGAGGTAATTGTAGCCACCATAATACTTAGAGGCCTGTTTAAAATGGCTATCCTTTAAGACAATTAACTGGTATCCCTATAGTAAATAGTGATTAATTGAGTGAACCCTTGATTGACTAATTTTTCGTTATTCCCTTCATCATAGTTATTATACTTATATGAGAGTTTATACTGTGTTCACAAATTCAGTCAAAAATTCCATTCCCTTAGAATTTGTTCACCTGAGGATTTCGAATTTGACTATTATATGTAGAAACATATTCACATGGAGGCTGTTTCCTGTAACATATCAAATTAAAGTAGAATATATCGCCTTATCAATCTCGTCTTGATTCGCATATCTTTTATTCAGTGCTTACGACTAAAAATGTTTCTTTTTACAGAGAAATAGGCGTAAATTACACGTAATGATTGCGATTATTTCAGTTATTTTTTGTATTTCCCGTTGACTGTCAAGAAATAGACATATTTCCTGACCTGATAGCGGTACTCAATTCCGTCAACCGAGAGGTACTATGGCAATGTTTGGCTGTGAAGGGAATACCGAGAAGATAAATTGCACTGATCAAGGCATTCTACACGAACTCGTGCAGCTAGGTAAGAGCCTATGGAGAGTGGTTATCAGAAGGGATGACAACCAGTGGTTTCCGTCAGGGATGCCTACTGTCCCTATTTCTTTTAAGTTCCACCACAGATAGGCCAACGGAATGAACTTTAACTCACTTCAGAGACTCAGGAATTGACTTGTTAACAGGAGGTAATCAGGTTGACTTAGAATATTCGCAGGACACAGTCCTCCTAGGTGAAGACGCTGACGAAATGCAGTGTCTTCTGAACGCCTTGTGCGTCGGTGGCACAGTGGTTAGGACTCTCGCCGACCATGCACATGGTCCGGGGTTCGATCCCCTGCCGGCGCACACCCGATATCTATGGTCGGCCTGAATTTGGGCTACCGATATCCATGCTGAAAAATTCACACTTGTACTGAAAATACGGTGTGGAATCAAGCTGTAAATCAAAATTAAAAAATTAAATTTAAAAAAATCTTCGAGTATTTGGCATGCGATTGGCCCCCTTCAAATGTAAGATGATGCTACAGGACTGGACCACACCAACTCCTAGCTTAAAGATAGGGGGTGAAGTAATAGGGCATGTTGATCACTTCACTCATTTGATTGCTGACGAAATCTCCGCACGGATACAGAAGGCTCGTTTCGTCTATACCAACTTACGCCATCTCTGACATAGACGTGCTATCCAGCTATCGAATTAAGGACGTGTGTGCAGCGCACCAGTTAACTTCATCCTCCTTTATAGCTTTGAGACATGGCCATTAAAAGTGGAAGACAAGAAAAGGCTAGCTACCTTTGATCATAGGTGCCTGCATTCTATCTCCCATGTCAGATGGTATTAAAAGTTGAGCAATATTGAGGTTAGGCATCGAGTTCTAATGGTTGTTAAGTTATACCAGTTGAGATTGTTAGGACATGTGTTACACATTCCTGGTCATCGTCTTCGTCGACGGGTAATGTTAGCTGATACAGAACCAGGTTGGGTCAAACCAAAACATGGCTTCACCAGTCAGTGAAATCTACAACAGTTTGTTTAAGCTGGCCACGTAGGGAGGTGTAGACTTCTTGGTCGGGGTTCTCGGGATGGTAAGAACCAATGGTTGGAGACAATTGCTGATATGGATCAAAATCGTTCTCAATGGCTGGCGCAGATGCATCCACTCCTTATGATTTGTCATATTCAATAAAACTTCTTTGTTCTTGCATATTACTATTCTTTTCCCCTCGCACTTCTGTTTGTTATCTCCCTCTCTTTTAAACCTCTGTTTAATCTCTTCTCTTGTGCTTTGTGTGCTACATGGAGTGTGGCAACTCAAACTGCTGCACAACTGTACAAAGTTCTATATTGAAACCAGTCAGTCAGTCAGTCCCGTTGACTGAGCATTTTAGTTCAAGGAGAAATGCAAAAAACAAGTAATAACTGATGCCCGTTGCACAACAGTTGACTCTAACGGCCTACTGGATAACGCTGTGGGTGCAGGGTTAGAGTCCCAATAGGAACAACATCACTCACTAGAGATACCTACGTCCCACTGACGAGTCTCGAATACGACGAAACGAGTATCCAACATTCTACTACTAGTCACCACTCATCAAAAAGTCACACTGTGTAATGATTGAATTTAGATTAGATGTAGGGATTTAAATTAATTGCAGTGTAGATTTTGTCACAAACTAACATCAATTAGAAAGAGATCACCGAAAACCAGGGAGCATTGGACAGCTGTTTCTTCCTCTACATTGAAATTCATCCAAATCCCTGCGAAGACCTACAATCTAAATATCAATCTCTAGCTCACTGATGAATACTGGATGGATGTCCTGAAGCTGCATTGAGAAGTCGTGGCTAGTGGGGTCCGCAATGTCGAGGTGAGGCGGATACGGATCAAAAGCATTGGTTGGGATTAACGGTATATCACGAGTCAACAAAGGTAGAATTCACAGGTCACTGGATTCCCGCCCATGTGGCTGAATGGTTAACGAACTTAGTTTCACAACCTGAAGGTCTCGGGCTCGACCCTAGCTGCATCTTGGGGGGGGGCACTGCTGATGAGTCCCATCCTAGGACGAAACGGCTATTCAGTGATATTTATGTCTGTTTTTAAGACGAAATACAACCGAATACCATCTGATAAATTGCAAAGAAACAAGTAGTTGTGAAATAAGATCTGAAATCAATTAACAAACATATTTTACAGCAATCGAGTGAACCATCAACCTATTCCAGTACAATTAAAAAGCATCACAAGTTTCTATTCGTAGCTTCTAAGTTATTCTAAGTAAAAATTATCTAGTTATTATAAAGATTCTAAATCTATAAAAGTGCTAAAATTATATATATTACACATAAAAAGTAATTAATTACCTTTGAATGTACAATAGTATTATTATTATTATCACAGGTAAACGGGGATGCTGAAGAACATTGTTGAGCTGATTGATGATGCAATGGTCTATGATACTGAATTAAATGAGCATCATCAGAGGAGAATTGATGTTGTGTATTGGATGCATGAGAGGAGGCGAGGACAGGTTGAATATGATTTAAATATTCACTTGTTACTGTGTTTGTTGTTGATGTTATTATTAAAGGATTAAGTGGTAAGGCTAAAGAGCTCACCGGTCGTCGCATATGATTCTCTGTGACAGTATTATTATTCACTGAACTTCGTGAATGCATATTAAATGTTGGTGGCTGTGTATCAACAATATACCTGACACTTGATGATTGCATATCAATTGGATCAGTGAATTTCTGTTTATCAACATCCATAATTTGACAATTATTATTGTTGTTTATATTTTTCACACTTAAAATAGAACCGGTTTCCTCCTCTTCTTCTTCAACTTCATCATCATCATCCTCTTCCTCCTCCTCGTCGACATTATCATCTCCGTTATTGCTTTCTTCATTCTTGATATTTGAATATGGTTCTGGTGGTATAACAACACCAGGTCCATTACAGTTGGACCGCATTCGACGTTTGGTTAACTAAAATAGTTTTTTTTTAAAGAAAAAAATTAACAAAACAAGTAATACAAGCAACGACGAAGCTACTAACTGATTAATTTTCAAGTTTTGGTTTGCAGCTAGAGAACCACAGAAAACCTGGTGGTACTGGATAGTTGTTTCGTTTCAGTCTGCGACTCTTCATCAGTACGCACCCATGGCTCTACCAACCTAGAACTTTCATGTTACAAGGTGAGCTTGTTGACCTTTCAGCTTAGACCTCAGAATTATTTACAACATGATGGTAGTCAGTGAGAACAGTTATCCGGAGGCAGCATCACTGCTGGCCTTCAGTTCCAAGGCCAGGTTTTACGCGCGTATAGCCCCTCTAGGGGCAACAAAGGATTGAACACCCGACTTTCACTGCCAAACTAACGTTCAGACGGCACTAGAGGTGTCCTACATTGACATATACAGTCCTAGTTTTCACTATCCCATCAGAGAATTCAACCGTCACCTCTCTGTTAGCATTCACACAACTACCCAGCTACATAAACTTATGTACGGTCTACCAAACAACGAAAAGGAAAACACACAAGAGTTGAACTATCATGTCAACAAAATAATCAATAACAGTACAAGTAGACAACAGAATGAGAAAATTTCCAGAAACAATCAATCACGATCATGGTCACCAGGTGAGGCGAATAATAAACATAAGGTGAATTCTAAAAGCTCACTACATGTTGATGTTTGTGCTGAGAATGTTGCCTTAAAAAAAAAAACAATTAAAGCTTCAGAGGAAACAATTACGCCGACAGAGCTTCCAGATTTTAACTTTTGTGATACTAATAAAAACTATGGTAACTGGAGTCAACACACTGACTTTCAAATATGTGCTGCGTAGTGCATACCCAAAGCAAATCGGCAAGAACAGAGACAAATCTATAGACAATGACACAGGACCTAGCATGACTGTAAATTGCTCAGAATAAATATACATAAGATACATGACGGAAATGTGAACTTCCTTCGGTTGTTGCATAGACCACAACTAAGGAGTGTATATTTCCTTTCCTTCTTTGATATAACTGCACCCAACGTTAGGCATAAAGTCTCTCTGACTGCATGCAAAAAGTGAAGGGAGAAAGAGAAATCTTATTCATTCCTTATGCTCTAGAATTCGTAAAATCTGCTCTGCAGAGACAATCGATAGTGAACTAGATAAGCTTCGATCAAATCTCCTTAATAATGGTTATCCTACAAGGTTTATCGAACGTAATATCAAGAAAGAACACGCCCCCAGACAAATTACAGTGCCAAAGAAGAAACT